TAATATTTCGAAAATTACGTAGTGAAATTACTGCATTTGAAATAACTAGTAAATCATTTGCGTTTAATTAAATTTCGAATTTATCACTTTATTGTGCAACATCAAGTTGATATTATTGCACGCCATATTAATCGCTAGAATAAGCTCCTGTATATTTTTGTAAATTCCTGCATTTATTACAATTTCTTTCGGTGTAAACGCAACAATCACCTTCTCGTCGAGTTTGAGCTCGTAGAATTTGATCTTATTTTCACCGGGGCGCACGTGTAAGAAAGTACAGGGAAATTGAATCTCGCTTAGTGCCACCTCCCACTGGCCATGCAGATGTATAGAATGCGGTAGTTCCGTAATGAAGGAAGAGGTTGTATTATCGGGAAAATGCTTCATACTGCTATTGCTCGGTAGAACCATGTGAAATTGTTCCTTCTCCATTTCTAAGAGAAATTAAATCCGAAGCAGCGATCCAAGAATCGAATTTACTGGGATATCCGCGCCAACTAACTAGCACTTGTTTATTAGCGCCGCGACCTCTACTCTTTATCACGCGATCGACGATAAATTGTTCTTCCTGCAAGTTTTTCTCAACTCGAGCTAATTCTTGTTCATAAAAAATTCCGTCTACGACTTCTCCTGCTAAATCAGCTAATTCATACACGGGGGGTTTTCGCCAAACGAGAACGCGATGAATCCGAAATATCTCCTCGCTCCACCGTGCTTCGTATCCTTTTTCGAAGGCAGCTTTCGCACTACTGATACGCACGAAATCGCCGACGCGGAATTTAACCTTTCGCCCACGCTTCTCGCTCGACACTTTGCCCTTCGGCCAACGACGAGTTATATTTTCGCGCGCGATACGTGCGTTTTCTCTCGTAACTGTCGCCGGTTGCATTCTGGTGGACGAGTGACGCGTGTGATTGTAAGCTCGCACAATATCCTGTAAAACATCGAAGTAACGACGTGTATTTTTATGCGTGAAATACCGCCACATTCGCTCTTTCAACGTTCTGTTGAAGCGCTCGACGATGGCGGCTTTGACATCCGGATTGCGCACTACACGAAAACGAATGTCGTTTTCTTTTAGAAATGCCTGCAACGTCCGACCGATAAATTCCTTGCCCTTGTCCGTTTGCAGATATACGGGCACTCGTCCCTCACTTCTCGCAAGTACGCGCTGGAAAGCATCTTTTACGCTGGCGCTAGTTTTGTCCTTTATCGGCTCTACCCAGACGAATTTGCTGAGTACATCGATAATCACCAGTAGATAGGAATACCCGTCGTTGTAACTCTTGAGATTCCGAAGCTCGATCAAATCGGCCTCCCAAACGTCGTCGATATTCGTCACGTTGTAATGTAGTCTCGGAAATTTTCGCTGCAACGGACGATGCAGCGTGTACGCGTCTTGTGATTCGAGCCAGCGAACGATATCGTCGTGCGTGTAATTTGGTTTAGCGGCACGTGTAAGATTTTCTACAGCTGAATAGCCCGCGTAATGCGACGGATCGTAGTAAAATTTTTCCAGCCCCGTCATTACTACTTCAGTTTACTCCAATCGAGTAAGCGTCTTTTCCTCGACGGTAGAGAATCTCCGAGATCTCTCGTAAAAGTCGCAGGAGGCTCGTTGGGTCGTGAGTAAGCCGATCTTTTCAGAAACCACGAATAATCTGCGGATTTTTCCTGCTGCAGTCTCTTACGTTTTCCCGGCGCTCTTCTCTCAGGCCTTTTCTTCGGCGCCACACTCGTTCGCGTTTTCTTTATATTTGGCGTGGAACTCGCACGAGGCTGAATTTTCTCACTATTTCTCGAAAAAGAAGAATCAGCAATCTCTGCTAATAATTCTTTATTTCCTATCATTACAGAACGGGTATTCAAGTCACGGAGTAATCGTGCGAACTGAGCTCTTCCTGTTGCTTTCACCGATTTTCTTTCGCGCATCGCGTCATTTATCAGCTCTGTGATATTCGAATCTTTCAGCTCTTCGCCGTCTATAGTGACGACACCATGCTCGTTCCAACTAATTCTAGCGGGCACCGCTGTCTCAAACAAATGTCTTATCAACAAGCCTGCACGGGCGCGATAAGTTTTCGGCACACTTTCCAGCAACTTTTCGCGGCTTTTCGACGCGCGAATATACTCTCTCGTGTCATTTATATCAGCAATACTGCTAGAGTGCGGCGATTTGCCGGGTGAGAGATCATGAAAAATTTCTTCGACTGCCGTCGTCTCGTCGCCGTTGTCCTCATTCTCCCCCTCGTTGCGTGTCTCACCGCGTTTTTGTCTTCGCGCTGCTTGAAAAAAGTGCAGATATCGCCAAAGTACTTCTCTATACAATTTCCATCTCTCTTCTTCGCTGCGCGGTAAGGGGGCATTAAGAATACGGCACATCTGAGCATCGAGTCTCGTGAGAGCGGTTCCCGGTGTTTGCACACTCATATTCTCCTCGCTTTCGTCGGTGTTGTTCGAATTTGCGATGTTTTCTTTTGCATCCGCGTTAATTGTTGTTGGTTGTTCCTGCCGCATTCTTTCGAGATTTTCCGTGAAAATTAAAACCATCTTTTTAGCCCTTTTCATAATCTTGGCTGTTTATTATTCGATAATTCACGATAATAAAAGCGATAATACAGGACCTATAATGTAAGATAAAAATCCACCCCGCTGTACTAAAAGTTTTCTTTTCTCCTTCCAGTTGCCACCGCGTTTTGTCACAATACGTTGTAGCGTCGTTTTGTATTTGCTTAATCGATTCTTTTCACGTCGATCGAGCGGCACGTTGAGTGTATTAAAAACGCATTCGCAAATACTGTCGACGAGTTTTTTGTCCGCTGTGCGGAGAAAGGCTGAGCGTTGATTTTTATTGAAATGACTCACTGTCTCGAGAAGACAGGCGTTTCTTCTTCCGATTGAATGTCTAGCGATTTTCATCGCTCTGTTCGATTTTTTGCTCTCCGCCGCTGCCGTCTTCTTCATTGCGAGAAAAGTGATATACGACTGATTCGTGCGAGCGCAGATACTCAGTTTTTATGTGTAACCGGTGGAAAACGATTTACGCGGAACGTAGACGTAATGCGTTGTATCGTCGGGAAAGATACACGTTCAAAATCGATATTCATCGAGGGTCGATTGTTTTAGATCGAGAAGCAAATATCCATGCGGTTTTGTCGTAGCATCGTAGTAGGCCTCTTCTAGAAACTTCGGATCGTCGGGATAGACTTGGCGTGCCAGATGCCGTATTTGTGCGCGATCGCAAGGGTTTTTGAAAACCACGATGTAATTTGCATTGAGAGATATATCGCGTTGCCCACGACCCTGATGGAAGAGGTTTTGTGAGATAAGAATGACACTGAGTTTCTTATGATGACTGCCTTTGGTAAAAAGATCCACGATCGCGTCGCTCGACGACGATTCTCTCATAAGATCGTCGATTATCACTAATTTCGGAAAGCGGATCGTTCGAATAATCTTCCGAGTGAGGTAGTCCTTCACGAAATTCGATTATATTCTTTCTCTCATCGCCGCCCTTCTCTCCCTCCTCCTCACGTCCTCTCCTTACTACTCCTTTCTTTCCTGCCCACGTCTCTTTTCCCGCCACGTCGTATTGTAATTGACGATATATTTAACATAGCGTCTTGCCACTCGGCGTAGTAGAACAAAACTCTTACGAAACGAAATGATTTTTGCGAAATGGACATGCACTGGAAACATCCCTGGACGTCTATCGTATGCGGTCCCACCGGATGCGAGAAGACGATCTTCGTAAAGTCTTTTCTCCGACATATATCAAGCATGTCCGACGTGCGTTTCGTAAGAGTTTTGTTCTACTACGCCGAGTGGCAAGATGCTTATCGTCAATTACAATACGACGTGGCGGGAAAAGAGACTTGGTCGGGAAAGAAAGGAGTAGAAAGGAGAGGACATGAGGAGAAGGGAGAAAAGGGCGGCGATGAGAGAAAGAATATAATCGAATTTCGCGAAGGACTACCTCGCTCGGAAGATTTTTCGAACAATCCGCTTTCCCCGAAATTAGTGATAATCGACGATCGTCGACTCGACTTCCTCGCGCGACTTCAAAAAGCAAAAGACACGAAAATGGTGCTTAATGGAAGTAATAACAATAATGGGAGGTGAGCTCGAGTTAGGTAGTTAAGAAGAGCGGCAGATAAGCTCATCACCGCGGCGGGGGGGTCACGCGGCGGCCGCACGCTCGCGTCAGCGCACACCCGCGCGCGTACGCTAGCCGAGGAGCACCGCGGCGACCGAAAAGCTGATTGACGTCGCGGTGAGATCGACACGAGTGGATGAGCTTATTCATACGTCGATGTGCTCGCGATCAGCGTATAATTCTGACGCTACGCGAGCGCACACCGACGCGGACGAGCTTGTCTCTCTTGAAAGACTACGACGACAACGACGACGACGACGACGACGACGTCGACGATGAGGAAGATGACGGCCGGGGAGGGAAAATAACGCGTTAGGAATCGTTTGAAGGAGTTGGAGGAAATTGCAAAGTAAACTTTTTCACATGTTACAAGTTGGAAATATTTTATTTTTTATTCAACAATTAATCTAAATAGTGATGAAAAAGAGAAAAAATAAGATATTTAAAGTTGTTTTTATATTCAAGCATATTTACAAATAAATATTTTACAATGTTACTTACTATTTTTACAAATGTTAATTTTTACATTTTTACATTTTTTTTCTTAATCCACTAGGTTGTTGTTTTTTCTTCTTAAATTACATTACATCTTACGCTATCGGACGGAAAACGCAATATAACTTAAAATCTAACTTAAAGTAGCTGGGTGTATGTGCGTGTGCGAGAGAGAAAGCATGATTGGGCTGAGGAGGAGAAAGTTGTTATTCGCCTACAAATCCGTACGGGAGAGAGTAACGATTATTGATAAATCTATGTTTTACAAATACCGGCGCACACGTCTTTGTTTCATCCCGCGTTACGATATCATGAAATGCGGTGCGTCGAATCGCTCTAAAACGCAAATTTATCGCCGCTCTAGTTGTTTCTTCTTCTTCTTCTTTCTTTCCTCCTCCTTCTCCTCGCTCACCCCGCTTTTCTCTTTCTGCTATTAATTTCTTAATACTAGCGAATTTCACGCACAAGAAATTATTATAGTTTAACGTAATACCTTTAATTTTACAAATTTCATGCGTGCGATCCGACGCTGTACGTACGACATACGCGTAAAATTTCGGGCCACCCGACACGAACGATTCAATGTAACTACCGCGGCCATAGCTCTCAAGCTCGTCTGTCATATCCCCCAGAAAATTTCCCGTAGATGGTTCGTACTCGCCCGGATCGCCGGTGCTTAAATAAATACACGAATCGGTATCGTAGTACAAAACTCGCCTATCTAATAATTCTAAATATTCGTATAATTTTAATCGTGCCTGCGCTGTCGTGTATGCCGCGATCACGACATTCGTCATCGGCGAAGATGTAACTGCCTCTTCTCGCAGTCGCCACGAAACATACATTCTCTCGTCGTTGACAGGTAAGATGTCAGTTATCTCGTGCTCGGAATTTATAAGCAAAGCAACGAACTGTTGATAGTCTTTTATGATTACGGTCTGAGGCAGATTACTCCGCTGACCAAATTTTCCCCAGAAAGAATTCAGACAGAGCTTCGCGACCGAACGTAAACCTGGATTTCGTACGATATTATCTCTATTGAGAACTGTTAAGGTTTTCGCTTTGCGGTATCGGGATCTCGGATTTCGATGGGGTGAAAGAACTATATATTATTCCTTAACTGAACTTTAATGTGTGTGTCTTTTAAATACAAGAAGTTGTGAGCCACTTGCGAGTACAAGAACAGAAGTCAGTGAGTTCACAGTGAGAGGACCACTAAGTATAAAAAATAAAGATAGGATAAAATAGTAACTATAGATCAGGGACGCCATCTATTTATCCCTAGCAGGCGAATTGCCCTCTCAACAAGAACGATACCCTCGGTTTCCTCGTATTCCCGGAGGTAACGTTCCTTCGCCTCGTCATTCACACATTCGCCCGGCCATCCACTCGCCTCCTATTTTAGTTGCAAAAATGAGTTTATATACGCGGTGAATAAACCCCCCTGACGTGTAACCGATTTATAGCGTGTGACTGTATTGCCAGATTTCACTCACGCTTGTCACGAAATAACTTTTCTCGATAGCTTTGCGTACTTCGCAGGATACCCAGGTACCCTCGAATTCACGATCGACGGGCTGATCATGAGTACACTCGGCCTGCGAGAATGTTTCACAGCAACTCCTGCATAAGGCGAACAGTAATTTCCCCCGTACGCGGTAGGGTAATACAAGGTGAAAGAGATCACGTAGGGGGAGTACTTTACGTTGGACGAGACCTTCGACCGAATCGAAATTGTAGTCAGGCGCTGCTCCGATTAACGAGGAACATTCCTGACCGATATAAATAGCGGGGTGACCGATCGGAAAGCCACCCGTTTTCAGTATGTACAGGTACAGAGAACACACGTCGACATAACGTATTTTCTCCGTACCCGTGACTTCGCAATACGTCGCGATATTTCCCATACAACCATCGAAGAACGCATCGCGCGGATTGAGAGGCGTGGATTTTATTACCGGGTGATTAGCGACAAATTCCCGCATCTCATCGTTTTCACGCAAATCCTGGTCGAAAACACACTCCCACTTCTCTATCACGCGATACCCCTGTGCTTCAAGACGACGTGTTGTTGCGATCGTTTCGTAGCGCTTTTCCAGCGTGTCCTCGCGATTTGCGGACAAGAGCGGTTTATTACGATTTATAGGGTAACCCGTCTTATAACCGTGCCAGAAACACCCGTAAAATTGAGATACGTAACGCCGTGTATCGTTTTCCGCCGTCACCGACTCATAATATCCATCGACGCGTCTGCCGGTTATCTGATGTTCTCGCCCTCGCCCCGCATGAATTATAACACGATCGATTTCCCGCTCCTTCCATACCAGCCACTGCAGGGCTTTACGCGAATGGTTATCTGCGAATCTGTAGCCGCCTCTTGAAATAATCCTATCTCTTCCTCCCGCAGAAGGTTTTTGCGAAAAACCTTCATGCAAGTGGAAGCGATAGTTGTACATTCCTCGAAAGGACATACATTCCCGCGCTCCAAGAAGATTTTACGGAAGGCCATGCAGGCACGACGAAGGATATCTACGTCGTTGCGGCAGTATTTAACTAATTCACGCTGGAAATCAAAAACAACGTTTTGCCGAGACATTTCTGCATGCCAGATCATAAATCGTTCGCGTTCCTCGGGTTTCATTTGCTCAGGTGAATAAGCGTACATCAGGTAACGGGCCGACGTAAGTGCGATTTTCTAAGGTGTTAAAAAGGTGCGGGAAGGTACCTTTATCCGCCGTGCCCTGCAGCCCAAAAGCTTTAGGTAGATCGGTTAAACGCATCGGCATATAATTTACGCTATCGATGAATTTCGTTCGCCCGACCGTCATTACGACAATTTTCGACCCGTTTAAAATCACTTGCGGCTTTACTGTTACCCCCGATTTTTCTACTAGATATTTTAAAATAAATTACGCGTTGAACGATTTTGCGTTATGCGCGATGCAGATAATTTTTTTGAAACATTTCATCGGTCGCGTCGCGAAGTCGACAAACTCCTTCACAAGATCGAGTCGAAATATGAATTCGCGTACCCCGCACCAACGGCATCGCTTCGTCATGTCGTCTAATTGAACATAGGTTTCACAAATTTGCTGCGCGACACACAGGATCGGCACGTGAACCTTTACACTACTTTCCGTACCCTCGAGCGTCTCGTCCTGTCGCGTTTCAAAGTCGTAAAACGCGAATGCGACACGTCCGTTTTCTCGCTCGCTCTCGCCTACGAAGTCATTATCATGCACACGCCGCTCTTCGACCTCTGCTTGCAACGCCGTACCAGCGCTTGTACCCTCTCCCAGGTTTTCGCTCGTGGCTTTACGTCGAAAAGGCTGCATGTAGCATAAATGATTCACAGACTAAGGTGACCGACATATTTTACAGTAGGCGATGTCGCATTTGTGTGGAGAGTTAGTTTTTACGAAACAATCGCAGCCGGTGCAAATTTTAACGGATTGGCAGATACTAGCGCGTGATTTCCCGTCGTATGATTTTTTTGCGCGATGCCGGGCGAAGCACGCGTTTCCGAAAAACGTACAGTTACACACAGCGCATCTTACACTTTCCGCACCGGGACGCTCGCACGTGGGAACGCTGTAACAACTCGGACATATTTTCCCACAACGATGCTTACGCCCCTTACGGTAACCCTTGTTGCACTCCATACAATACCTCCCTCGATATCCAGCGGCGGCGGTCATATTCAGAATCTGATTGTAGTGACGCGAATCCTCGTAATCAGGAGACGCGGTAGCGTCTCCCGCCAAGTATATTTTTTCGTTATTAACAGAGACGCTACAGTGTATCCTTTACTGGACAGATAACGACTCTGTAGGAATAAATTATTATTTTTTTAATTATTTGGATAATATCGGTAAATGCCTAATTTTGTGAAAAAATCTATTTCTAATGACAATACTGTAACAGCGATATCCATAAGTGCATTTGATACATAAGCGCATAAAGTGTATGCATTTTTTGCCCGATATTATGTCATTCAGATTCGTCGTCGTCGCCGTCGCCGTCGCCGTCGCCGTCGTCGTCGTCGTCGTCGTCGTCGTTCGCAAATTTCAATTTTGTCCCTCGTCTCTCTTTTGGCTTTCTCGTTTCTCTCACGACTTTCTCGTCTGTTTCTTTGCTTTTTCGTCTCTCTCACAACTCTCTTGTGGTCATCATTGAGGAAGTGAGTGTCTACGTGTTTGCCATCGAGGAATTGAGTGTCTAGGTGTTGTCTAGGTCTTCGCCGTCGAGGAAGTGAATGTCTACGGGATTGCCATCGAGGAACTAAATGTCTAGGAGTTGTCTAAACCTTCGCTGTCGAGAAAGTGAGTTTCTACGTGTTCGCCGTCGAGGAACTAAGTGTCTAGGTGTCGTCTAGGTCTTTGCCGTCGAGGAAGTGAATGTCTACGTGGTTGCCGTCGAAGAACTAAGTGTCTAGGTGTCGTCTAGGTCTTCGCCGTCGAGGAAATGAATGTCTACGTGTTCATTGTTGAGGAACTAAATGTCTAGATGACGTCTAGGTCTTTGCTGTTGAAGAAGTGAATGTCTACGTGGTCGCCGTCGAGGAAGTGAGTGTCTACGCGTTTTCTAGATCTTCACCATCGAAGAAGTGAATGTTTACGTGGTCGCCATAAAAAAAGTGTGTCTACGTGTTTACCGTCAAGGAACTAAGTGTCTACGTATTGTCTAGAACTTTGCCGTCGAGGAAGTAAATGTCTATGTAGTCGCCGTCAAAGAATTAAGTATCTTCTAGGTCTCGCCTCACTCTCGCCTTTCTCGTCTCTTTTACAGCTCTCTCGTGTCTTTAACAATTTTCTCTTCCTCAGAACCCTTATCTCTCTCATGACTCTCGACTCTTTAACAATTCTATCGTCT